TTTATTTGTAAAAAAAAAAATGCAAAAATTGTTTGATTTTGTACAATATTATCATTCATAGTTGTCAGACAAGAATCTACGTTATCAAAATTTAACATCATATTTTCATTTACGTATTAAAGAAAGAGAAAATTAACTGAGAAGGAATTAACACGATTGCTACGTTTACTGTACGTGTTAAAGATGTTTTCAGTAAATTGTGGTTTTTATGGTCATATTAAATATCATGAATTTTATCGTCGTCGAATTGTCATGGCATTGACTTTGGTATTAATAAGATATCACGCTGTCATATACTGTCATACAATATATCATATGAAACTCATGACATTTAATTCCCTCTTCTATTAACTTTTTCTCCTTCTACTATTCCCAAATGAGAATATAACATCAGATTCTGAAAATCAAGAATCTATTAATAATGTGATTAATTAATATTATTAATAATAAGCATTAAGTTATTTATCGTATCTTAACAGCTTTTATTTTTGTGTAACTTATGTGTATATGAGTGTTTACGAATATAAACTTATAATGATCGATTTTTAAACAAGATAAATTAGTACTTGAAATTAACATTAATATAAATTATTGGTGTTAATCTCATCAAATAAATATTTCTATTTTTAATTTCACATTTGATTTTTAATGATATTTAAATTTAATTCAATATATTACTTCAAATATTTGAACATAAGATACATGGTAATAGAAAGTACAAACGAAGCAAATTAGATTCAAGAATGTCTATCACATACATTACATATTATTAGCTTATAAAACTAATATAATTAATAATTATAAATTATATTTATATTTAATTAATAAATTATATTTATTAATTATAAATTATATATATACTTAATTAATAATTATAAATTATAAAAAGCTAATAAATTATAGAATTAATAAGCATAAATTATCAATATAAATATTTAGTGATGAAAATAATTCAGATCTATCCCTAATTTTTTTATTAATTTTTTTTATCTTTTTTATTGAAAAAAAAAACTATAATTGGTATTACCTTCTTAATGGATAAAATTATTTTTCTTGGTTTTTAGATTTTTAATTTTGTTACAATATAAATTTATTACACCATATTAATATACACTACATATATCGATATTTAATTATGATTTTTAAAATATATATTTTTTAAATTTAATAGATAAATTTAATATTTTTTACCGTATGAATATTTTTTTTTCAAAAAAAAAAAAAAAAACTATTAGAATTGCCAAACGCATGAAAATCTAGAAGAAATATTCATTAATAATTCAAAAGATATTTGTAATTAATCTGAAATATTTAGAATGTCATTGCCAATATTAGAACCACTTGTAAGACATCTATGATATCACTTGATTTACTGAACAAAATTTTAAGAATTAAAATAAAATCATTATATATTTTGCATATTTTGCATATTATCTTAAAAACGATAAATATTTCAATCTTCTATTAATACGTTCTATTATATTCAAAGTACATGTACTTATTGTTTGCAATTAATAAAATCCTAAAAATTCTTTGAAAAAAATACAGGTTTGAAAATAGACATATTGAACAAAAACACATACAATATAAATAATATCATGACACCATATCATTGAACAAAAAAAGAGAAATGTTCTTCCTGTCTCTCTGCTGTTCCATGAAATTTTTTGTTAATTGCGAACAACATACAATGTACATGAATAACATGCATGTACAAGAATATATTTATAAATATACTTATAATATGACTTTATTCACAAAAATGTAATTTACGGCGAATGTAAATTATGTTTTTAAAATATCTTAAAATTTTTATATTAAAGCTAAGAATGAAAGTATAAAATGAAAATATAATATATATATATTAATATAGTTAACATAATTTCCCATTATGATCAATATAATGTTTACCGAATCTTTATTTTCTTGTATGTATATATGCTATATTGACCTATATTTTCTACGACGCGATTAATTAATACTTAATTAGATATTTAAAAAAATAATGTTTATTCTTTTATGAATTCATAACGAATTCAGTAACGAATTTTTTTTTTTTTTAAATTCCAATTATTATTTTATTTTTTTACTATTTCCTTTCATAATAAATAAAAGTTTAAATTTTTCTTTTTGTATTATATTTTTATTTTATTTTATTATATAAAATTGATTTAACATTTTCATGGATTTTATATTCGTATATACTATGGAATTTACATCTCAAAATATAAAACTCAAAAACATTTTTTTAAAAAATTTATTCTACGAGTAATACGAGTAATACGAGTAAAATCTAAAATTATTTCGAAAATAAAATAAAAAAAAAAATAAATAAAATAAAATAAATAAAATAAATAAAATCAATTAAAATTTTGAAAATATTTTCACAAGTTATATAATTATTACAATACAGAAATAAATATTATATAATTATTTATAAGCATATAATATAAATAATAATATCTGATTAATAGTGAATGAAAACAGTGAATGAGAATTCATTTCAACATTGACGCAACAAAAAATAATAACAAGATGATCGGACATTCGCTTATCTTGCCTAAAAACATAACCATATGGTTGGTTTCGAAAAGAGAAATATATGGAATGTATATGTATAAATACTTATGCATATTGAAAAACCAGATCTTGCGAGAAAAAATAGAGATAAAAATAAATCGAGGATAATTTTAAAACTTAAATAATAGTTCTGTGTATGAATTTGAAAAAAACCTTGACGCGTTCTTCAGTATGTACTCCAGGATAGCGATAGAATCGATCGAAACAATTGCCTTCTTACATTAAGTTGACCTCTTACATTAAGATAGAAAATAGGCCTTTAGGATCATTAAAATTATTGACATATATTAGTCATGTATTAAATTAATTTTTTAAGATTCTATTTATCTATTTCTTTATTATATATTATAAATTAGATATAAATAAATTAAAAAACAAGATTTTATGATATAATGTGATTTTAATATTAAATTAAATTATAAATAAATAAAATTAATTTGTATATGAATAATAAAGAATGAGAAATTAATAAAAAATGTCTATTTTTTTTATATATTATATTATTATTTATTATATTATTCTTTCTATTATTTCTTTAGAATAGCATTCCTCAAATGAAAAAACAATTTTTATTTCAATTTCATTTTTTAAATTATTTTTTATAAAAATACAAATATTTGCAATCTATCATTATGAATATAGTTATAATTTTAATATATAGTTATAATAATAATTTTAATATTAATTAAAGAATATATATATATATAATAATATAATTTAATATTTCTTATCCATATATTTCTATTTTATATATATATATATATATAAATAGTTTAAATTTTTAAATGATTTATGAATGTTTGTAATTATGATTATAAAAATCAATTAATTAATTCATATTATAACTCTAATTATGAAATTTATTCAATAAAAAATAATAAGAACAATATTCTGCTTTTTTTTTACTAAAATTTAATTTTTATTGCTCAATTAAATTTTTAATTTTTAATTGTAGATTTAAAATTATATTTATTATTTAAAGGAATGAATAAAATATTTAATAACGGATAAAAATAATTTTTAAATTACTTTTAATTTTAAATTGATTTTTAAATTACTATTTCAAGAAAAAAACAAATTATCAAGCATCTGTTTATGAAATTATTTTTGATGATGTGTTTTCAAAAAAAAAATATTAAAAAATAGCAAATTTTCTTGATTATTTAATTAATTAATGATTAAATTACACGAGAAAAAAAATAAGATTAGTTTGTTCAAGAATTTTAAGTATCGGATTAGTCCCATCGCTACACTGTTAAGGTAAGGCCAGGCGCACGCCCATCTAAACGTCCAATCACTAACCGCGACGTCATCTCGTACGATGTAACGGAGAGACTCACCCACGTGGTAAGCATCGTGTTATTTTAGTATCGCATCGCGAGAAAACCTACCGATTACGTTCTTGTTCTCAAACGATTATTCTAGAATCTCATGACTAATCTTTTTACAATCGTGACACAATCGTGATGATTTTTTTCATCTTATTAGAAATGACATTTTTTTTTCCACATCAATTTTAATAATATTTCATTCAAAATTAATGCTAATGAATAACAAAGGCATTGCAACTGCACAATGTATGGCGGGTTAATTTTTAACATGTTGCAATTGAATCTAGCATTTAATTGATCAATTAAACATTATTTAAAAAAACAAAATTATATCTTATTTCCAACAATATTTTTCTCTGTTTATATTTTTCATTAATTATGATATTTTTAATGATTTTTAAGAAATTCGATATTAATATGACGAAAACATTGATGAATGAAATATATTGCTATCGTTGATGTAATAAAAATTTAAAATTAAAACTGTAAATTGAACTATTTATGCGGTTAATAAATTGTACGTCAGATAAATTTGACTGATGAATGAAATGAACACAGCGAATGTTGCGTAGATCAGTTAATCAGTTAGATATCGAGACGCTGTGAAACATGTAAACAAATTTAGAATTTATGTAAGAATTAATAAAAAAATAAGAATTTTCATGATATATCACAGACTATTAAAATTACAACTACGAAACACATCGAGTAGAATGAAAATATCTAAAAATAGAACATTCACGCGGTCTTTAATGCATTCTTCTAGTATTTCATTTCTTCAAATTAACGTATTTGAAAATTAAATTGTAACTTCCACGATATTCTCTTTGATACAACGAAAATTGCGTCAACATCATTTTTAACGTGCTACGCTACGTTAGCCATTAGAGAACATAAAATTTTTCAAATACAAACACATACACCTTTCCTTGAAACGTCACATTCAACAAATCGAGTTTGATTGTCTGATTCAAACTTTGTTGACTGAAAATCAAATAATCTTGACATCTTCGAGACCACACGAAAAATTCAACGAGATGAAAAATAAATAAAAGATATACATATATAATAGATATAAGATATACTCACATGAATAAAATGTAGTAACAATCAAGGCTAGCCAGGATAGTTGTTTCTCCATAACTTTTCTCATTTCTAAACTATCTTGATGACAATGGTTTCACAAATTTAATCTTTTAGATTCACTAGTGAAAATTGTGATATATAGAAAAATTTAAAAGACTCTTTTGCACACCGACAAATCTTATCAAAGCTTTAACATACGTCGCTTTGGAACTTTATTTTTTTGAAAAGAACGCGCCACACGCACGTTTAATTTCTCTAACACATAAACTTTATTCTTAACTCACGAAGACTACCATACAATACATACGATCCGTACTTCGCAACCGGCTGTGCACGACTAACTCATGGAAATGCATTTTGGCGGCATAAAGCTTTGAAGGCATGCCAAGTGCGCATGCGCGGATCGCTCACGCCACCAGACTTGGTGGGGTATTGAAACTTCTTTCTCTTTCACTATGACTCTCCGATATTTTCTCCGTTACGCTGTTTTGTCAAAGTATGCTGATGTCGATATCATTACAGCTTTCGTTTCGAACAAGATCATTAATTGAAAACCTTCCCGGTACGACGACGGAATAAGACCTTGTATTACCACGAGGAATTTAATTAAGAACGTGCTTTCATTGTTGATAGACAATAATAACGGATAATTAGCGGATTTAGGTGGAATACTTACACAATCTACCTGCAAATGCAATCTCTGATCTTGATGATATGATCTTTTGCATTTCGTGAAATGTTGCAACGACAAGCATTGATTTCAATAAAATTTTAATTACATTTAAATTTTTTTAATTGAAAATAATAGTTCCATTATGACATTCCATAATTCCAATTATAAATCTCCCTAGAAAATTATCTAAAAATTAAATATCAATTTTTTATATGTTTAAAATTATATAATTTCATTTAAAATGAATCAAAATATAAATAAAGAAAAGTAAAGTGAAATAGAATACTAACGATAAGAATATTTATTTTACTGAAAAATCAAAAAAAAAAATTCATTGAAAGTCTTGAATAAATTTTAAACTATTAGAAAATAAAATTTCTTTATAAAAAAATAAAAAGAAATATTTTTAGTGTACAAATAAAAATAATATTTTTTAAATATCAAAGTATACTATTTTGTTTCATAGATGCAATTATATAATCTTAATTTTCTTATATTATATATTAGATCATAAATTTTTATTAGATCCTATCTATCTTATATTAGACATTTATCATTTTTCTTGTATATTATTGTTTTTTATTTATTGAATGATATTTTTTACAAAATGAATTATCGAATATTTTTGCAAATTAATAATGTATTATTTTTCATTTTTCAATGCTCGGATAATAAATTAGCAGATTTTTCATTTTTAATATATAATAAATAAACAAATTTTTAATATCTATATACTCTATTGCAATATTATATGTAATATACTTTTATAATATTTTACATAAATAAAAATGAAATGAAAAATGAAAAATTTGCTAATTTTTCATCTGAATATCACAAAATAAAATAAAAAAAACTATATTTTTAATTTGTAAAAATTCCAACATGTTACAAATATATATTATCAAACTAATGAATTTTATATCGTTTTATATAATAAATTGAAGCATCAAAGTTAAAAAATAAATAAATATAAAACATATTAAGGAAAAATAAATTTGTTTAAAACAGAAATAAAACCATTATTAAAAACTATTTATTATTAATAAAATAATTTTTAATATAACATAAAAGTGCTTAGATTGTAGAAAAAAATGTATCTGAAATACAATATTTAAGTTTTATAAAAAATTACAATATCTTTTAATTTAAATTTGTATTCGAATACTTTATTGATATTAAATTTCATTTTTATTTTATTATTTATTATAAATAAAATTATATGCATTATAATATATAAAATTTATATTTCAATTAATTGTAATGACTGTGTACCTTAACATATTAAAAGATGATCAATTCAATTAAATTTTAATAAACAAATATACGCATGTAATTATCTTTTAGAAACTATCAAAATATTATTTGAATTACCATACATATAGATGTACTTTTGAAATGTGTTTTCGTCGTTACCGTTAATGGTACTGACATCATATTGTTATATCACAATAAGGAAGAAATTTGTTTGACAGAGAAACAGTTTTCGAATCTTTTACAATGTTTTATTCTTTTTCCTGTAATATAGAAAAAGCTTATTATACAAATAAAAATTATTTTTATTTACCATGAATAAATGTCAATTCAATATGTTTTATATATTGGCAAAACTTTTAGAGAAAAAAGAATAGTGAAAGTTTGATTTATCTTTTGGAATCTGAAATTGTCGGTAGAATATTATAATGAAAAGGAAAAGTGTGACTTTTTATTTGTGAATTTTTTTGAAATTCCAGAAATTCTTTGAAATTTTGAAATTTTTGAATTGACAGACCATCCGTACAGAGAGAAAATCAATTTTAAATGGGTGACAGATATTAGTATTGCCTGTAGAACATTTTGTAGCGAGAATCGTTTGGGAGAAATGTTCTGAATTTTAACTGAATTAAAGCAGTTATTATACTACATATGAATTGAATGTTCTGATTATTCAAGTACAATTGCAATTATAGTAATTAGAGTTTGCAAGATTGTTCAAAAATAATCTGTTCGAGAGATACTTTTAATGTTTAAGGTTATTTGCGTTGCGTTGATAAATTCATTAGAATTAAAAGAAAAAATAGCGTATATTTTGATTATTTAAAATTTTAAAAGTAAAATTTTAGAAATCAAAAATTAGAAGAATTTCAAGTTGTGAATTATCTTCGTTTGAGAGAAAATACAAATAAATGATGCAACCGGCTTGTAGAATAATTTTAATTTAATTTTGGAAACGGTTTTTATAATAAGTAAGATTATAATTAATATCTCAATAATTCGAATCTTAAAAAAAGAATCGAAATCTTCATAATGTTTCGTTTTATATAAATGATTAGTGGTAATAATTATTATAGTAATTATTTATTTATACAATTAAAAATATAGTATTTCTCAACAATTTTAATGATTTTGAAATATATCATTAAGATCATCATTTTAAATATTATTTTGAAATCAATAAAATTTTTATTCCAATTATTGTATTTCTTTATGTATCATATTTATATATTTTTTTTAATTATTTATGTTATAATTATTTATGTTATAATTATTGTATATATTACATATATATTCCTTGTTATTTAATTAAAAATGACTGTGTTAACATCATTCAAAATTTTTCTGACTTAGTATGACTTTGTTAAAGCACTCAATTAATTAATCAATTTTTCAACGAAATCCAATCTTCTATTTCTAATTTTAAGAAGTTGATTCTTTATCAAACTGTTTCTTTATTCTTTTCTTGTTGTTATTTCCTTATACTTCTTACTTCCTTATACTCTACTTTATACTTCTTTATATTACTTTTTTTGTTGTTTGATATGCATGAAAATTTATTTTGAACAATTAGTCTTTTGTCGATTGTTTTATTTATTGATACTATTTGATTGTTTATAAATTATAATAATTTTTCTATCAATTTTTTCATTGAATTGATTCATTGAATTGATGATGATTCACACAAGAGATTAAAGAATACGGAGATGTATCGATCTCTATATAACGTTGAACGTGTAAATGACTGTGTAAATATATCGATTCCATTTTATTCTGTAATGCTAAATTATGTCTTCGAATAAATTTAACATGTATGTATTTTGAAACTGATTCAATTTAAAATGATAATGTTTATCTTAGTTCAAATCAATATATATATATAATTGGCATGATATTGTTTGTGAAATTTATTTCTTCAATTAGAATATTCAATAGGTCAATTAGAATAATTTTAATAAATACTATCATATTTGAAAATTCAGAGTTGCTTAATTGAGTTGCCTAATTGTATTAATACTTTGTTTCTTTAAAGATATTATTTCTTATTTATAAATTATATCATTAAAATATAATTCTCTAAGTTTTTTGGATTTAATGAATCAACAATCGCAATATTATTGTATTGGATTCAAGAAAGGCTTCGAGATGTCCTTTTTGAGTGAAATAATTAGATTAAATAATTAGTCCTTTTTTTATACATATCTTGTAAATTTCATTGTTATTATTTTCAAAACTAAGCTACACATTTTATAAATTAATGTTGACCAACAAATATTGACCTAATTAATCTAATTTTCTGATATAGAAACTGATATATATAGATTATTAAAATCAATCAAATAATACAATTTTAATACGAAATCCTTTATTTCCTATTTATTTTATTTTTTTAATATTAAATATTTAATATTTTAATATTAAATATTTATTTATATATAGTTTATCTCGATATAATTATAAATTGGTTGAATTCTACTATTTCTATAATTTCTATTTTTTCTGCATCATTTTCAAATGTTTTAGATTTTTGAATTTAATAAAATCTAGAAAAATGAAGGATTTCTAATGTATTAACTTATTATTATATGTATTATTATATATATTAACTTTGTATTAACTGCTTTAGTTCCATTTCAATAACTATTTCAGAGATTATCATTAAATTATTTAATTTAAAATTTAAAGTAATTATTATGACTGCATAATTTAATCGCAACATTGTCGGATATTGAAAAGTTTTTTGTTGAAAGTTGTGGATTTCAAGATCATTTTCTTTTATTTTTCAAATTAGAATGAGCAATCATCGCTTGTAACCTTAAAACTTATCGCGATAGCATTCGATTTGTTGGCGAAAACAACGAACTTCCGTAGTGCTTTCTTTTCTTTATTAATAGTCGTAGAAAATTACACGCCATTCCTCTTATATAACTCGAGATTTTACGATGTAAGGATATTGGTGGTCAGTTAAAATCTCGAAATGACATTTATATAAGTAAAATCTAAATAATATAAGTAAATCTGAAATGTTTAATCTTACAAACAATAATTAAGGTTTCTTTAATAGAGTAATTGAATTTCGCAGAATTTTTTTTTTTCTATTGGAGTAGCTTATAAATCTCTCAAAACTTTTGTCATCGAATTTTCGAACAAGTATCTTCGATTCTTTTACCAATAATGTCTATTGTTAATATAAATTTTTAGATAAATTCCGGATATATTAACTTTTAACAGTTTTTTCTTCAATTATTAATAAGAAGCTCTTCGCTTAGTCTCCATTGTGAATTTTTTTTTTTTAACAACTGATTTTCGCAATTTTAGAAAAATTTTTTATGAAACATTTAATAATCAGTCTTAAAAATTCTTTGATGTTTTTGACTGTGAAATATTTGACACAAATCTCGCAAATTGTCAAAATTTCATTTAATATCTTATAGATAATATGTC